TATTCCCAGGATGCAATGGATGTTAGAACATCTGTATATCATTCAATGTGATACACTACATTAATAACATGAAGGATAAAAATCATATGATCATCTAAACAGATGCAGAAAAAGTATTTGATGGACTTCAACATCCGCTTATGATAAAAGTTCTCAACAAAGTGGGTATAGAAGGAATGTACCTTAACATAATAAAGGTCAAATATGACAAGGTCACATAAAATATTATATTTAATGATGAAAAAAAGAAAGCTTTTCTTCTAAGATCAGAAATAAGTCAAGAATGCCCATTCTCACCATTTTTTAAAAATTTCTTGAGCTTATTTATTTATTTTGAGAGGCAGCATAAGGAAGGTAAGGGCAGAGAGAAAGAGGGGAGAGAAAGAACCTCAAGCAGGCTCTGCACTGTCAGCACTGAGCCTGATGTAGGGCTAGAACTCATGAACTGCAAGATCACGACCTGAGCTGAAATCAAGAGTTGGATGCTTAACCAACCGGCTACCCAGGTGCCCCCACTCTCACCATCTTTATTCAATGTAGTATTGGAAGCCCAGACAAAGCAATTATGCAAGAGAAATAAAAGACACCCAAATTAAAAAGAAAGAAGTAAAACTCTTACTATTTGCATGGGGACAGGATACTGGATATAGAAAATCCTAAATAGTCCACCAAAATATGGTTAGAACTAATAAATCAATTCAGGAAAGTTGCAGGATACAAAATCAGTATACAGAAATTTTGTATTCGTATCAACTAATAATAAACTACCAGAAAGAGAAATTAGAGAAACAATCCCATTTACAATTGCATCAAAAGAATAAAATACCTTGGAATAAATTTAACCAAGACTTGTACAGTGATAACTAGAATACGTTGATGAAAGAAACTGAATAGGACACAAATAGATGCAAAGATATTCCATGCTCATGGATTGAAAGAATTAATATTGTTAAAATGTCCATACTACCCAAAGCAATCTATTGATTCAATGCAATGCCTATCAAAATTCCAGTGGCATTTTTCATGAAAGAGAGTAATCCTAAAATTTGCACAGAACCATAAAAGATCCTGACTAGCCAAAGCCATCTTATGAAATCAGGGGGCATCACGCTCCCTGTTTCAAACTATACTACAAGCTATAGTAATAAAAAGTAATAAAAAAGTAATAAATAAAGTAATAAAAAAGGACTGTACTGGCATAAAAACAGACCTATAGATCAAGAGAACAGAAGAGAGCCCAGAAATAAACCCACACGTATGTGGTCAATTAATTTATGATAAAAAAGCCAAAATATACAATGGGAAAGGACAACCTCTTCCATACATTGTGTTGCGAAAACAACATATGCCACTTATAGCAGAATGAAATTGGACTACCTTCCTACACCATATACAAGACTTAAGTCAAAATGCATTAAAGACTTGAATGGAAGACCTGAAAATCATAAAACTCTTTAAAGAAAAAATAGTGGCAATAATTTTTCTGGATTTGACACCAAATATAAAGGCCACGAAAGCAAAAAGAAACAAATGGGACTACATCAAACTAAACGGCTTCACCACAGCAAAGGGAATTATCAACAAAATGAAAAGGCAAGGACATAATGAATGGGAGAAAATATATGTAAATCAGGGGTTAATGACCAAAATATATAAAAACTCATAAAACAGTGAAAAATAATCTGATTAAAACGTGAGCAGATTTAAAAATGTTTTTAAGGGGCGCCTGGGTGGCTCGGTTGAGCGTCCGACTTCGCTCAGGTCACGATCTCATGGTCCATGAGTTCGAGCCCCGCATCAGGCTCTGTGCCGACAGCTCAGAGCCTGGAGCCTGTTTTCAGATTCTGTGTCTCCCTCTCTCTCTGGCCCTGCCCCCACTCATGCTCTGTCTCTCTCTGTCTCAAAAATAAATAAATGTTAAAAAAAATTTTTTTTTTAAATGTTTTTAAAAACATTTTTTTAAAAAAGACATACAGATGGCCAGCAGGTACATTAAAAGATGCTCAGCATCATTAATCATCAGGGAAATGTAAATAGAAACCACAACGCAATACTACCTGACACCTTTTAGGACGGCTATTATAAAAAATGTAAGAAATAACAAGCATCGGGAAGGGTGTCGAGAAAAGAGACTCCTTGTATATTGTTAGTGGGATTGGTGAAGTCACTACAGAAAACACTACAGACCTTCCTCAAAAAATTACAACAGAACTACCAGATAACCCAGTAATTCCACTTCTGGGTATTTACCTGAAGAAAATGAAAGTGCTAACTCCAAAACATAAAACATACATGCCATCCTATGTCCACTGCGGCATTACCTACAACAGCCAAGATATGGAAACAACCTAAGTGTCTACTGCTGGATGAATGGAGATAGAAAATGTGATATGAGATACACACACATACACAGACACACATAATGGAATATTATTCAGCCATTAAAAAAAAAAGAAACTTGCCATTTGCAACACGGATGGACCTTGAGGGCATTGCGCTGAGTGAAGTCAGTCAGACCGAGAAAGGCAATTCACGTATGATCTCATTTATATGTAGAATGTAAAAATAAACAAAAGAATATGCTCATAAACACACAGAACAGACTGCTAGTTGGCAGAGGTGGTGGTGTTGGGGGAGACATGAAATGGGTACAGGGAGCCAAGAGGTACAAACCTTCAGTTATAAAATAAATAAATCTAGGGACTGGAATGTCCAACACGGCAACAATAGTTAACAATGCTGTATTACATATCCAAAAGTTGCTATGAGAGTAAATCTTAAATTTTCTCCTCATAAGGAAAGAAACTCTAGGACTATGCATGGTGCCAGATGTTAACCAGATTTATTGCAGCGATCGTTTTGCAATATATACAGATATCAAATTATTATGTTGTATGCCTGAAACCAACTTAATGCTTTGTCAAGTCCAGCTCAATTAAAAAAAACAGTTTTGCATATACTGAGAGGTTAATGGATTCTTCTTGTTTTATATAAATTCAGGAATCTCACCTATATTAGAAACCAGGAAACGCTCACTCTCCACCTAAAAGGCATTTAAGTTCCATATGTTACTTAGAAACCATTTATTAGCTTCCTAAAAAGTCCCTTGGCTTGCTCATGTTATCAGATAACTATTATATTTTAATCAAGAGAACTGACACGGAATGCTGTATTGATACTTTTCTAGGCGTGGATGAGAATAATGAGAATATGAAGGCAATAGTGGAAGCCAGGGAAGACAAGGGAATGCGAATGTGAGGGGCTGAAACAGATTTAAAATTTTGCTTTTGGGGGTGCCTGGCTTGCTCAGTTGGCTAAGTGTCTGACATTAGCTCGGTTGGCTTCACTTGGCCCCCCGTGTTCTTGTACTCAGTCATTCTATAAACACCGGTAGCTATGCAAGGCTCTGGGGTACCATCTGTCATTTTCACTTAACTTCTTTCTGCTGCAAGATTATGTTTAGTCTAATGACACAACCTAAGTTTATTCCTCCTGATTTATCCTTGGCACATGGTACTTCAAACAGACTGACTGATTCAGAGTCAAACTGGCCATGGAGACAGAACACTGAAAGGAAAGATGACTGACTGGTCCCCTAGATAATAATAAAGTTTCCCCTGGTTGAAAAAAACAAAATTTTATAAAATCTTTTAAAAATCTGCAGGTCAAGACTAGAAATATAGCCTAAGAAGAACATAAAATGAATTGATGTTTAAAAAAAAAAAAGGTATTTAAAAAAAATTTTTTTAACATTTATTTATTTTTGAGAAACAGAGTGAGACAAAGTGGGGGAGGGGCAGAGAGAGAAGGAGACACAGAATCCGAAGCAGGCTCCAGGCTCCGAGCTGTCAGCACAGAGCCTGACGCGAGGCTCGAACCCACAAAACTGTGAGATCATGACCTGAGCCAAAGCCGGATGCTCAGCCGACTGAGCCACCCAGGTGCCCCCCAAAAAAGGTATTTTCTTCATGGTTATTGGAGTTCTACCTGTAACATACATTATTATATGATTTTATATGTATGTGTGTGTATGTGCCTTCACACACACATACATATGTACTAAAATGAAGCTGTTGGCTTTTTTGAATGGTTTGTTTTTAAATTTTTTTTCTTTTTTCTTTTTTTCTAAATTCAAGTTAGTTAACGTACAGTATGCTAACAGTAGAACCCAGTGATTCATCTCTTACATAGGACACCAGCGCTCATCCCGAAAAGTGCCCCCCTTAATGTCTGTCACCCATTTAACCCTTTCCCCCACATACTGTCCCCCTCCAGCAACCCTCAGTTTGTTCTCTGTATTTAAGAGTCTTTTATGGTTTGTCTCCCTCTCTGTTTTTACCTTATTTTTCCTTCCCTTCCCCTATGTTTACCTGTTGTTTTTCTCAAATTCCACATATGAGCGAAATCATATGATATTTATCTTTCTCTGACTTATTTCACTTAGCATAATACCCTCTAGTTCCATCCATATTGTTGCAAATGGTGAGATTTCATTCTTTTTCATTATGGAGTAGTATATTTGATATATAACACATCTTCTTTATCCATTTGTTTGATGATGGACATTTGGACTCCTTCCATAGTGAAGTCTTAAACACATTCTCTTTTATATAAGGTTTCTATGAAAGTCCTTCCTCATTTTTGTTGGAATACAATAAAGAGTAGTTTATTGCTCTGTCCTTTCTCCCTCCCTTCTTTAATATTTATTGAGTGCTTAATATACACCAGGCCCTAGAGATACCACAGAGTCCCCATCCTGGTTCACCCCTGAAAGGAGTTAATAATAACTCAATCTGCCGAATGGTAAGGCAAGTTCATGCCATATAAATTCACACCCCAACCTGATATTTAATTGTCATTGGTTAAGAATCTATGTGAAAGGTCAATAGCGAATGTGAATGACGGCAGGAAAATTGGCATATTGCATTTCTCCATGGAATTTAATGGTAACAAGTTGACTCTTTTTTTTCTTGAAACAGCAGAAATATTTAAATGTTTACCTGAATATACTCTGTGAGCGTGTTAAAGACTTGTTTTGCTACTTGAATTGCTTTGGAGAAATTCCGTTGTCCTTGTTCATCAATAACATCTTTCCCAGAGTAATACCAATAGAAATCACTAATGGATTCCTGCAAAAGAGGGATGATAGGATTAAGACACATTCTAAAGCTACCACTGACCTGCCTGGCTTTGAAATCTAGAATAGGAAATCATTTTAAATAACAAGATTTGGAAGCAAACAAAAATATCTGTGAAGTAAATACTATTCTCAATGATTTTCCTAAACAGAAAATGTGGCAGTGTCTTCCCGAGGCAGAGATAACAACTAGAGATAAAAAGCAGAAAACTTAGCTTGAAATAATGACTCTCTGTCTTTGATGACTTTGAATTTCACAGACATAAGGAGTCATAAGATTAATGCGTATTTATCTACTGAGCAAAGCAAAATTAATTTTATGTAATTTTATGTAAGTACAAACATTAGACAAGTCCTGGATGTTTTTGGGGTTACAGACATCTGACCTCCTTTTTTTCCAACAAAGTTCACTAACGTTTCCTCATGAGAACTCCAAAATGTTCCTCGCTCTTATAAATGCCCCTCAAGAAACTGGTTGGACTACTTATAAACACAGATACGACAGATATAAATAAACATTTAAACAAGATCAATCTTCTTTTTTTAAAATTTTTTTAATGTTTATTTTTGAGAAAGAGACAGAGAGACAGAAAGGCAGAGCATGAGCAGGTGAAGGACAGAGAGAGAGAGGGAGACACAGAATCCAAAGCAGGCTGCAGGCTCTGAACTGTCAGCCCAGAACCTGATACGGGGCTCAAACTCTTGAACCATGGGACCATGACCTGAGCTGAAGTCAGATGCTTAACCAACTGAACCGCCTAGGCGCCCTTAAACAAGATCAATCTTTCTGAACGGGATGTTTTCAATAATAACTTACATTTGGAAGGAATTTTAGTTGGCTAAAGGAATAATAAAACTTATTTTTTTTTTTAGTTTATTTATTTTATTCTGAGAACCAGTACGGATGGGAGGAGCAGAGAGAGTGGCGGACAGAGGATCCGAAGCAGGCTCTGCGCTGACAGCATAAAGCCTGATGTGGGGCTCAAACTCACAACCATGAGATCACGACCTGAGCCAAAGTCAGACGCTTAACTGACTGAGCCACCAAAGGCCCCGGGAATAACACAATTTAGTCTAGCATGTAAATTGCATCTGGATTTCAAGACATGATTTTAAAAATCACAAATATGTTTTCAGCAATATTTCTTGTATTTGCTTCAAAAATGGAAGCTCTCAGTTAAAAAAAAAAAAGGGTTGTGCTTTTACATACTCAAAAGATTAAGGGAAAAACTGTAAGTTTGAACATGTAGGTTTTAAAGTACTCTATCTGGTTACTCTTATAAATAAGATGAGGGAAATAAAAATTGTACAGAGCTCTCCTTACCTAGGTAGGCCTACACCTTCAGATTCAGTTTCACCAATGTGTGAAAGATGACTACAATATCACAGAGATTTTTACCTGATGGAGTGTTAAGCTGGATTTTAAAATTAATTCAAGTATTGGGACAGCTAAAAAGAACTACCTGTCAAATGTAAGTACACTGTGGGTACTTTGAAAGCCTTTCTTTCGCACTCCTAAAAATATTTCAAATATTCTTCCTAATTTCTCTATCAACTTTAGAAGAAGGAGCGGAGTACGTAAGTACTTTCCAAAACGACATGAATTTAAAGGGCCATCAAGCTAGGGGCGCCTGGGTGGCTCAGTCGGTTGAGCGTCCGACTTCGGCTCAGGTCATGATCTCGCAGTCCGTGAGTTCGAGCCCCGCGTCGGGCTCTGTGCTGACAGCTCAGAGCCTTCTTCGGATTCTGCGTCTCCCTCTCTCTCTGCCCCTCCCCTGCTCATGCTCTGTCTCTCTCTCTGTCAAAACGAAATAAACATTAAAAAAAAAAAATTAAAGGGGCGCCTGGGTGGCGCAGTCGGTTGAGTGTCCGACTTCAGCCAGGTCACGATCTCGCGGTCCGTGAGTTCGAGCCCCGCGTCAGGCTCTGGGCTGATGGCTCAGAGCCTGGAGCCTGTTTCAGATTCTGTGTCTCCCTCTCTCTCTGCCCCTCCGCCATTCATGCTCTGTCTCTCTCTGTCCCAAAAATAAATAAATGTTGAAAAAAAAAATTAAAAAAAAAAAAATTAAAAAAAATAAATAAAAAAAAAATAAAGTGCCATCAAGCTAAAAAACATAAGGGGGAAAAGAAATTCCCACTTACAGAAAGAAAATCATGAGCAAAGTAGGAGTCAGGATCGGAGGCAAAGACAACAGAGGCAGGTCCCCCCTAAAACTTGGTGAAAGACTGTGATCAAAGACAAAAGATCTCAAAAAATTCTGTTTGGCCAACAATCACGACGCATTAAAACATGTCGGTTTAATAGCTCCACCACATCACATCCACTCACCAACCCCCTTCACTCGTCACTAAGAGAAGCCGACATACCTGGACTCTGAGTAGGTAGTCTACGGTAGAGATGATGATGTTGACAGTTGTGTTATTGCCAGTCTGAGTTCTCAGATAATTTTGAAAATCTATGGAAGATCAAAAGGAGTTACTAAAGCTGAGTCAAAAGTTTTGAATGAGTTATCCGAGTAACTCCAAAAGCAACTGAGGCCTCCGGCAAAATTGCTGTGGCTAAGAGTAGTGCTTCAAGGGAGCACCCCCAAAACATCTCGGTGCTTCAGAGAGTACCAATTTCCAATTTCTGTCTAAGTGGTTGCTGACGTCTGTTTCCTGATTGCTAGCCCTACAGCCATGGGCATCTCCGGAAGGAGTTTCGCCGTTTAGGAAAGAGTAATTGAACTACGCATTCAGTAATCATTTGTTCCTGAGTGCTGGGTAAACAAAGATAAAATTAAGATACAGTTCCTACCTTCACAGATGCACAAGTCTGGGAGAGAGCTTGTTATATAAACAACAAAGGGAAATATGTTATGCTAAGTGATACTATGAAGTTGATTCCCCAGTTAAAGAGAAGGGGTAGGAAGGAATAAACCCATACAGCTCTCTGTAGACCTCGTATCTTTTTTCACCTGATTTAACAGAAAAACAAGTGTTAGGAATTAAGTGGTGCGGCCAGCAAAGGACTTTGAGAGTAGGGATGCAATGCATAAAATATCACAGTGTATACTCAGCATACGGAGGAATACTCTAGAATGTCTGTGGACTCAGGGACAAGGCGTAATTGGAATGAGCGGGCCCCTGTCACTACTGGCTTCAAACTACTTCCTCCTTGGTACCGTCATAGAGTCTGGGGTCTCACGAACCTGAGTTGTGTCCCTCACAAAGCAGCTGGAGGAAACGGAAGAGGTCACACGTGAACTCGTCATCTTGGAGAACCTTTTCTCCTGCAGAAAATCCAGAGATCAGACATGATCAACTATCCTCGCTGGTCCCGCCCTCTCTTTTCCCACCTCCAGAAAACTTGCGTGTTGATCTAGCATCGTTCTGAACCAAAAACAGTCACAAATCATAGCCACTCGTCTATCTGAAGCTCGTACGATCATGCGCTTGGCAGATAGATGCACTTTTTCTTTGTCAGAAAAGAACATTTGAATCTTAAAACTCATATTTCTCTCTGTTAAAAGTAGCAGCATGGGTTTGGCAACATTTTAGAAACAACCTGAAGATTTAAACTTCCTTTTTTTGGTTTTTGTTTTTTTGTTTGTTTTTTTGTAAGGTGTGTATAGGAATGATGTCCACATCTCTTACAAATGCCAAGGTGAAATCTACTTTGCTCCCAGAGAACCACCAATTATTTCAATGCAAAGGCATTCATTGCATATATAAAACAGGACCGAGAGCTTCTTCTATTTAATGAATAATTAAAGGATCTTGTGAAAATTGTAAATGACTAGAAAATGTTTGATTCATTTCAATTAACTATCTCGTTAGCTTGCCTAAGGGATTTAAAAAAGTAAAGACTTCAGAAATGTGATACAGACATGCCACTGGTTGGGACTTTACTTTCAGAGGAGACAGAACTAGCAAACAGACCTAATTCTACATATCAAACCAAATGAAAGACTTTGGTGGCTCATGCTGTATGAGTCACTCCAACCAAAAGGTGAAAAGAAGGTTATCTCATAGCCATAGAAGTTACTCAGAATCATTAAAAACTAATATATTTGTGGGGTAAGCACCTCAGAAAAGGGTTCAGATATTTTACCTACATTTTAATCAAAATGTATCTTGGTCATAAGTTACTTGGAAAGCAAAAACACAAAGAAAGAAACAAACGAAAAAACAGCACCACACAAATGAAAGTTGATTTTGAAAGCATAGAGTGCCAGTGGAAAAATTGTCAACGTTATGACTGTATGTTCTGGAATCTAAATTTGTTGCTTAGAAATCAAAATGACACAAAAATGTCGTTTGGCAAGTGAATGAATGTACTTATGTATTTAAAAAAAATGATAATAACTTTTCAGACTGGAAATACTTTGGGCCGAGAAAGAAAACTATGCAATGACCATGTGTTTACTTTAACTAAAATTATGAATGATTATGACAGAGAGCTGATGGACTTACCAGTCTGCAGTCTGTGACTTTCAAAGTGAGAGGCTTCATATAATGGGAGGGTTAGGAAGCAAAACCATTTTGAAAACTAATATAAACATTAAAAAAAGTACATAAAATCACTGTACTGGTTTCCCTGCAAGATATGATATTTGGTGACCAAACTAAAATCACCATGCATATAGATCAGTTGTGTGGCAAATTCAAGTTTAAGTGCACATTGCTTTGACTCTCAGTACGTGGCTGATAAGCCCATTCCTCAGTGTCTCCGTTCATGACGGGATAGGAAAGAAAGGGAGAAGAGTCTAGGCTAATAAACCAAACTCTTCACTTATGATACTTAGTATCTTTCCATGAACTGTTTGAATCAGACGAGTCTTTAAAATGATATTTAAAACATAATATTATGAGTTACACAGTCTTCCTGATTCTTTCCTTGCGAGCCCATCTAAAATGCTTTTCTCTAGAAAACCGAATCAATAAACCATGTACTTTCAATGTTCACATACTCCATATGGAATAAGTAACCCTTGATAGAAAGTATTCAGAAAAGTTAACAAGGAAATAAATATCATACAGTCTACCTGTGTTCCTGAAAATGCCCTGCGCAATGCACACTGATTTATAACGTAAGGATTTACTGTCGGCATGCACGGTATTTTCTCGACTGTATACCAAAACACATACAAGTAACTTTACTTACAAAAGGACACGCTGCACACAGCAGAACAATAGGGGAGGAGCGTGGGAAGGGGCGGGTCAAGCCTTCCTTTACCATCAGGTGACAACGAGGTATAAACTGGGGTGCTATTGCTGAACGAACACGTTACTATCTGATTAAAATGCTGCCATTCCCCATGCTGCATGTAAGTGGTACAGTAACAGAGATGGGTGGTGGCTTTATGTCTGCAGAAGGCACAGGATGCACGGTCTATTTTGTGATGTACGCAAAAGACATTCCATTGCAAGATGGAAACTAAGATTAATAACAACGAAATGGAGTAAAATGTAGTTGAAAGTGCTCTGATGTTCTTAAAATTACTATTTGTAATAGCTGCATGACGGTCAAATAATACTGTAAAGGACATTCCTTGGGTTTCATTTTTAATTATAAGGGGCTAATGATTTCTAATACTGTAATATAGGGAGAGTTGTTTCAATATTGCTGCTGCTGATGAGACAGTTCTTCGTGCCTTAGTTTTCTCATCCATAAAACGAGGGGAACATGGGCACTGTCTACCTCACTAGCTCTTCATAATTCATGTGACCATTTTTAGATATTGTGGAGAGGTCAACATTATCAGTAGCAGTGGTAACACCACTAAATAAACATGGGAACAACATGCCTACGTGATGAATACAGTCATTTGAACATATTTACTAAAAGTGTTTCTATTTCCAAAAAGCCATCTTAATTTTAAGGGACCAAAAGAGTCTCCAAAACCTCCATTTCACTTGGAAATAATATTACACCTTATTTGTGCAAGGTACCAGTAAAATCAATTCCTATTTTAAAAATCTAATCAAGTTAAGACACTTTTAAAGGCCACTGTTCTACTCACAATTGGCATTAAAAAGTATATAATGTTTGCTTAAGTGTTTGTTTTTATTGACTACCTAAAACACCCATGGTCTTAGCTCGACATCTACAACCTTATCTTGAGACAACGCTTGGTTTAATTGTTATTACTTGCTAAAAATTATCAATAATTGTTGATAAAATGAAGGCAATAAGTGAAATGCCGAGTAGATATATAGAAACAATTGATTTAGGACACATAGATCAGAAGACTAAGATCCTCTTTGTTGTAATGTCTTTTCATGGCAATATCCCCAGTAATGGAAAGCTAAAAGGATGAGTGGCATGAAATGTTAACACTGGTTGCATCAAAGAACTCCCTACAAAAGCTTGTTATATGGAACTCAAGAGTGTTTTCCCCCTGCCCCTGCCGTGGAAGAAATAGTTCTGCTCAGTGATCTTTAGAGGACTCAAATACCTATTTTGTATAATGGCAAAACTGAAAGATTAAGGCTAAAAATATTTTTAAATAGTGAAAAGTCAGGTATTTGGTTCCATGTGGGTAATTTTAATGTCACTGCTTAAATGGTTTAAGTGGCCACTTAAATTATACTACTATTCAACCAACAACGGATACAATTTTTAAAATGGATTCAAAATTAACATTTAGTCAGTGACTACAGTGTGCTAGACATTGTGCTAGATATATTTTCTTATCATTTCATTTTAGGTTTATAATAATCCTATGAATCAGGTGACATGAATCCCATTTTGTGGGATACAACTGAGAAATTAAGTAGCTTGACTGAGGTCCTATAGCCATTTACTAGTAAAGAATTTGAGTCCAATAAACTTTGATGAACATTCATTAAGTGTCTCCTACATGGAAGGCACCTTGTGAGATCCTGGGCATATAATTATGACTAATGGACACAAGCCTTAACTCAAAGAAGTTCATAGTCTAATGGAAAAGATAGGCAATAAAAAGGTCATTTCAATACCAAATGGTCTTTCTGGATCACAAAGTTCACATCAGTAACTGATCAGATCTTTGGCTAACAACCTCCGACTCCATGTACTATATGTTAGTTAAACTGTGAACTCCTACTTGTTTTTTTATCAATTTTAGAACCCAAAGAAAACCATTTTCTAGATATGTGGCTTTGGGAAAGTCAATTCACCTTTCTGAGGCTTTGTTGCATCACTTTGATATGGGAATTAACGATCTCCTCACCCCCTTACTTTCAAAGGGTTGTTGGGAGAATAAAATTGGCTCAGACAAGTACATTTGCTTTGAAACATGCAAAGCACAATAGGAATAAAAGTGAATTTTCAATGATAGGAAGGCACAGGTTCAAAAGACCTAGGTTCCTAAAATAAAGACTTTCAATGGGCTGTGGGGTGTGATAAATAATCTACATATTCCATGTACTCAATGTGACATGAGTGCATAAAATGCATTCCTATTTCAGATCCCAAGACAATAAAAATGACCACTGTGTGAAATAAATTAGGTATGTCCCATGGATAACAGAATTAAAGCACATGTTAGTTATGGAGGGAAACATACCTTTGCTTTCAAATGTGATCCTCAGATTATTTCTCTTATAACGTCTTAATGCCTTTGAGCTCCCATTACTCTAACTGAAATCCTTACTGTTCTTTATCCATTCCATTAACCAACATCCTAACTGATCTCCCTCCCTTCAGGCTGCAATGCCCATCTTAAACACTGTTGCCTACAACGACAGTTGCCAGCAATCCAATCATAAAACACTCCCAACAAAAAGATGGACTCCTTTAACAGCAGTTGAGAAAAATCTACTCTCAAAATCCCCTCAATCTATCATCAGATATAACCACAGAGCTCCCCAACTTCCATGAAGGAAATCATGCTGCTAATGTTAGAGGACTCAGTGTTTAGTTAGCATACTAGCATTACTGAGAAATGAGAAATCTGTTCGCTTTAATGTTACTGGCTTGAACAATGTATGTTAGGACTTAATGCCAGGTATACCATCACACAACACACAACACGACTGAAGTGTTACTTACGTAGTGGCTCTTCATGGCCTCAGAAAGAAAGTATGAATTCTCTGGCATGGCACAAAAGGCCTTTTACGGCCTCCCACCAACTATCTTTCCAGCCTCTAGTCTGTTCATGTCTCTTCAACCACCCTAGGTCAGTAATGTTCTTCGTCATGCTTTGTACCTTAAGCTTTGCACATGCGGTTCCCTTTCATTGGCACATCCAACGCCTTTCTCATCTACCAGGTAAACGCCTACTTCAGGCCATATGTTACTTCTGTTGTGAAACTTAACCCATCAGCCTGGCAGACAAGTACTTCAACTCAGTTCACTCATAACACATAGCTCATGGGTTCTGAAGTTATTCGTTTACAAGTCTATCTACATAACACTGAGTCCGTAAAGAACGCCAATGCCTAGGACAAGGTCTAGCACATAGTAGCCACTCAAATTGCAATTAGTGCTTCAATGTTTAAAAACTGTACAAGGATGTTAGGAAAATTTATTTCGTGCCATGAACTAGTACCACATGCTTTCCTCAAAAAGAAGGTTGATCCAGAGGAATGGCAGAGCAGTGTAGTCAGAACTGAGAGCTAAGCTGAACTACACTTGAGTCAGACTTTGCAAATCTGGGGTGGGAGATAGACAGTAAACAATTAAGCACTAAAATACTAACAAAAAATTAGGATAGCCAATGCTTAGAGATTGTGTAAATTATCATTTTGACTAATTAACTATTAATTCTTTGGCTGCATTTTCATACAAATTTGATGAGGTCAGTATAAATATCCCGAGTAAGAACCTCAATTCGGCGCGTTACCAAGTGCAGATGGAAATTTAGAAAGGTGAAATGTTAGTTGTTTTATATAAAATGTTCAAAAAAAAATAAAAAAAAAAATTCTGAGGACTGTATCAGCTTCAAAATTTCATCTTGTTGATGAAGTCCAGGGCTGCTACAAAATGATCAAAAAATAAAATGAAGTATCTTCTACAACACTCCAAGAAGTGGGTAAGAAGAAAAATTGCACTTTCAAGCTCATAATGACTTAGTAATGAGGTTAAATGGTTCTGAGAAAAAAAAAATCCAAGGATGGAATGAAATTTTAAATATTCATAAGGTTTTTGGTTTTGAACTCCATTATACGTTAAAAGAAAACACGTGATTAAAAAATTATGCAGAGAAGACAACATTGAACACATCACAAGTCTAACAACACACTTGCCAAAGAAAACTGCATTGTTTTTTGTTTTTTGTTTTTTTTTTAACAAATGGGAAGTCCAGGCTTTTGCAGGAAAGGGGGAAATTTACTAAGGAGGGACAGAAATACTGGCAAACTTTCATGGCAGTAACAATGGTAGGAACAGGAATTAATATTAAATTGTATGAAATCCTTATATACAAACCACAAAAAGGCACATATTTCCTAATGGTATCTCAATACCGGTTTAGGAATATCATATAAAACCATAAAAGTTCCAAAGTGATTTTAAAACTTCAACAGTGAATGTAAAGACTGGCAAGAGATTTGTGTCTTTAAAGAGAGTAAAAAGCAATAAGAAGCAAAAAATACCACCTAAGCTGATATGGTGAATATAAAATAAGCCCCCGGAAGGTATTAAAAGATGGGGCTAAGGGATTGGCTCATGAAATTGGTAACAGTGGGAGGCAGAGAGCCTGCATTTCAGTCTTGACCCTGTCACTTCACTGTGTGATCCTGGACAAACCTTGTAGCCTTTCCACCCCTCAGTCTCCATACCTATAAACTGGGGACAATACCTTACTGGTGGCTGTAGGTTTCAAAAAGTTGCATTTAAGTTAGACATTTTCCATGGCTATATAATTTACAGCCATTTTATCATCATCAGGAAGAGGTTTAGCCTATTAGAGACAGGTGGTTGGGATGCAGAAAATTTAACTCATCAGATTGTCTTCTCAGTGTTGAGTTTATTATACTGCATGGGTCTCAGGCTTTAAAGCTACAACATCACTAACAGATGGGGAGTTTTCAGCTTTCTCTATGAATTCTGAGAGGGATGATTGATTTTCCCTCTCTTTATGAGGGTACCAACTTTTCTTGACTTCTGTAGACCCGTAAAAAAATGGGCATGTCACAGAAATTGTTTAAATATGCCAAAAGATAGAGTTGCTATAGGTATTCTTAATCTGGGAGGTAGTATAATTATTCATAGAGTGAATGAATTGCCGTCGTGTGTTCTAATAGGCGTCTTGATTAAGGCAAGAGTGTGTACTGAGAAAGCACAATTTAATCTCTAAAGCCGTGCTGACGTTCCAGGTACTCCTCAAAAGTCTCATCCCTCTTTTATTACCACTGCCTATAATGTCTTTTAGAAACTACTTTGAACTACCAATGCCATCTTTGTTATTAGTTTGCTACTGCTTCTTCAAATTGGGTCTCAAGAATGAAAACACAGTTTTTACGTTAGGAAGGTTTCTAATGTGTGATGTTTTCAAAGGAATAGAAAAAAACTCTGCAGATCTCTCAGTAATTGGAAGGGAACTGGCAGAACCCACTGGCCAAGAGGAGACTCAGCAGGACACAGTGCCCCCGGATCACCACTGATTTCCCATGCACCCATTGGTGCAGCCATAAAGCCACAGAACGTCCGAGACAGAAACGCCACAGAGAGACCACTGCACACATCTATGGTTCATTCGTTTACACGACAGTTGCAAACACTGGGTCCATCAGAATTTTTTTTTAAACGAACGAAACAGAACGAAACAAATCCGAAAACGTAACTTAAATTCTTGACCCTTTTTGTCTAATATGTTCACAACTGAACATCCTCATGGAGAGAAAAAGGAAAGCTTGGTATATAAGTTCTATAAATAAAAGGATGCATAATGATGGAAATTAAATCATCTATTCGTTCAACAGTCTACCAAAGGGAAAACAATGCACAAAAAAACTTTCACTGTCAAGACTGTACACAAAGCTAATAACAAATGAAGGAGCAAATAAATAAAAGGCAGATCATTTGTAATAATTACCACGCTCATGTGTGATGGCTGAGGAAAGGAGGACAGTACATTTACAGGTGAAAGAAAAGGAAACGGGGAAAAAATAAGTTGAGATGTTGGTTTTGTCTTGCTGTTTGTAAGGAAATACAATAGAAAACGTGTTAATCAGTTTGGGCAATTATTTGTGTGTGTTGAAAAAGAATAAACAAATCAAATCAACCTCCTACTGACAGATGTGACTAAAACTCGCGTCAGAATGGTCATTCTCACCCAGCTATTTCTGATTCGGGACTCACGAATGTCATTCCAATCCGTAGCTGGTTGACGAAGGGTAGGAGACCCTGTAAAGCTAACCTTGCACAGCCACTATTCCTGCGCGGATATGAACAATGGCAAAGCATGATGAATGCAATTGTGTTCAGAGCCCCTGGAACATCAGGTAATAATTGCAGGGAAAAATGAAACTGATTTCTAACTCCGAGACAGGAAGTCCCACTTTGAACAGAGAATTCATCCCTTTTAGGCACTTTACAGCTAATGGGAGATGCCCAGGCTTCCTGGAGACTCTAGAGGCAGGCAGGTAACGGGCTCTGAGATTTGTAGGGGCTCTGAGCTCTCTGGATGGGGCCCTCGGGCCAGTGTTTTCACTGGTGACATAAACCTAAGTCATCAAGAGATTTGGCTGGATATTCATTTCAGAAAATTTAAATAAGTTTACAGTGCTGCTGGCAATTTTTTCTTAAAAGTAGCTTACACAGGTAACTGTAGGACTAATTCTGGATGGTGGAATCTATACATTCAAATGTCAACAAGAAAATAAAAGCACACAGGAGCTGTAGTGTAGCAGCAGCATTAGAATATGTATAACTGATAATTTTTTTTAAATTTTTTTCAGGGTTTCTTTACTTTTGAGAGAGAGAGAGAGAGAGAGAGAGAGTGCAAGCGGGGGAGGGACAGACATAGGAAGGCAGGAATCTGAAGCAGGCTCCAGGCTCTGAGTTTTCAGCACAGAGCCCGACATGGGGCTCGAACTCACGAACCGTGAGATCATGACGTGAGCCGAAGTCGGACGCTTAACCAACTGTGCCACCCAGGCGCCCCTATCATTGATAATTCTTAAAAAACAGTAAGAAATATGCAGCTAATCCTTTTACCTAATGTGAAAACAAAAATATGCAGAAATAAGAGAGATTAGTTAATTCTAAAATATTTCAGAAAGGTAAGCAGGCTGCAAATGGCAGATAGGATAAAATTTAGTTTTTGCAAAAAGAAAAATTTAGTTTTTGCAACAAGATTAGTTTTATCAAAGATCCGATGTGCCAAAACTAATGCATTGATAATATGACCACTGCAAACTAGACCAAACAAACAAAAACAGATCAACACACAGGGCCTCATTGAAACTAAATTAATTGAAAAAATGTCAAACACAAAAGAACAAAAACAAATCGAGACAAAAAATATTGAAGATTTTTTTTCCTAATACTAAAAACGAATGTGCAGCAATAGTTATTTCTGCTTTCACTATAGTATATACTAATTTTTCTAGTTTATACACACATCTATTTACAGAGAAAAAAGTCTAAGATTATGTGAGTCATTATATTTGTGTGCATGTAAATTAAGTGGTCAGAATTATTTTAACATTAGGAATTACTCCTTAATTTCTTTCATCAAATTTGGACTTGTGAAGACATAGGGATGCATGAGATACAAAGATATCTGTGCTATACGGGAGGAGACTGTCGGAATAGTGGTCCATCGGAGGATCTCAAAGTGTCACTTTCCTAAGGAGACCAAGGAATCTGAAGATTTGGCAGTTTGCGAAAGTGGCCAAAAAAAAGTCCAATATCCTCTAATTTGGTTCATCCATATGCTTTATAATTTCACAGATGATTCTCTTGTAAGGGATCTTGATCTACTAACCAACTAGGGGAAAGGCCAATTACAATAGGTCTGGAACAAAAAAGGAGTTAACGGTCAACTGGGAAAGTTGGGTTTTGGGCATGATTTGAGTGAGTGCCCGATTGTGAACTTTTAAATGAGTCACATAAGCATTTTGGCCATGTAAAAATAACCCTACATCTCTCTGTTTTGCAAAGATAATTGGTAACTGACTCATCTCGGGAAAGGGGGGGGAGAGGGGACAGGTGACCCTTTTAGTTTAAGTGACTGATACCTGATCCTTCTTCGGTGACCATTCCAAGTCCTTCAGCTTTGTTCTGCCGCTCAAATGCATTTAGGTCGAGGACGCTACAATAGCAGGGAGAAAAATGCTTAGAGGAGGAGAAAATTTTCTTTCTTCAGGACAGCAAATGTGTACAAGTTCTATATCATGAAATGTGAACCAAATATTAGCATACCCTGAAGACATAGCCCAATTCAATGTCTACCAACCATATTTTCCCAGGAGCAGCCCAGTCCCTCCCCAGGGCCTGCAATGAAATGATCCGTGGGCGAGGCAAACAGAAGGCATTAACGGGTTTCGACTTTGGGAGTACATTGTAATGTTAGCAGACACACTGAAATGTAATTATAATAATCATGTTTTCCCAGAAGGAATAGCTTATTACACTAACTATCTGTCAGATTCCTTTGTCAGGTGCTGTCTGAGTGATTTTAAATACTGCAAAAAATAGAAAATATGACCATAAATGAGGTTAGGGATCATTTGTTTAGGGAAAATGAGAAGTGGTCCACAAGCTCTCAAAGAAAACTAATTAGAATTTCCCTTTTTCTCTTTTAAAATGCACACACTGCTCATTTTCAAGTGTGCAGCATATACGTTAATTCTCCAAGGTCCCTATTTAAGAATAGGGAAGACTATTTAAAGACATTACTAACGCTGAGTAAGTTAGCAATTACGGCATACTAACACCTAACAACAAGGCAGGAAAGAAGGCACCATCAATTGTCCTACTTTGACGTGTACTGAATCACTAAAAAATATTCTGTGTAGAATTACTGTCAGTAATGTTAAACAAACACCTTGAAAGACACAACCACTTGGTAGAGCCAGAACAAGGAAGGAGCGGGCTTACCTGCACGACTGCATCAGGCCGGCAAGGCTCTGAAAGAAACCCACGTCCTTCTTCTCCTTGAGATAGTCCAGCATTTTCTAGGGGTAAATATACAAACCACACGGCCACTGAACACAAAGCTTATTTTTTGTTAAGCAAGAAACATCAAAAACATGCTTTTTGTTCTGGAATAAAGACTTTAAAAAATCAGTGCATACGAAAACGACTGTCATCTTTACCACGACATGGTGACCAGAATGTCAAAACGAGATAGCTGCACGTTTCAATGTCGGCAGTATATACAGGTGGCTTGGAACAAGACAGCTGCTTTACATAAACGTCATAAGCACCATAAATATCCATGGAAATAATACTCTCAACTCTTCTAGTCAATCTTTAAGGATGTGAAGATGTAGACACTTAGTTCAAGTTTACTGGGAAGAAGGCCCACCTGGATGCTGGTCAGAGATTCCCATACAAAAGCTGAGTTCCTTATTTTTTTTTTAACGTTTATTTATTTTTGAGACAGAGAGAGACAGAGCATGAACGGGGGAGGGTCAGAGAGAGAGGGAGACACAGAATCCGAAACAGGCTCCAGGCTCTGAGCGGTCAGCACAGAGTCCAACGTGGGGCTCGAACTCACGGACCGCGAGATCATGACCCGAACGGAAATCGGCCACTTAACCGACCGAGCCATCCAGGAGCCCCAAAAGCTGAGTTTCTTAAAGGGCATTATAATCCATGTGGTGTGACTACCATATGCTACTGTCTATAAGACATTATTTGTCTATTATAGACCTATGTGTATAAGACAGAAATTTAGTTTCCATTTTCATGGTCTCTAAACCCAAGCAATGGTAGCAATCATCTGACCACTAAATGTCTCTTTTCTCTTGTCAGAACGATGTCCAGTCTCTGTGCCCAAAATTGTGATGAAACACAAACGTAAAAAATGCTAAAGCAGTACATGGCTCCACCCTCCTAACTCTTGTTGTTGTTGTTTTGTTTTTTGTTTTAACATTTATTTCCTTTTGACAGACAGAGACAGGAGCACGAGTAGAGGAGGGGCAGAGGGAGGGAGACAGAGAGTCGGAAGCAGGCTCCAGGCTCTGAGCTGTCAGCACAGAGCCCTACCTGGGGCTCGAACCCATGAACCCTGAGATCATGACCTGGGCCAAAGTCAGACGCTTAAGCAACTGAGCCACCCAGGTGCCCCTTAACTTATTATTATATACTAAAATGAAACAGCTATTTTCAATGTGGATGAAGTAAGTGTTGGAAGTTTCAAACAAGAAGTACATACAAGATGATAAAATGATAGAAGGCACACCAAAGGTTTCAAGAAAACAAAGATACTGCTCTTCTCTGAATCTTGAATAGATGTGAATAATTGCTATCACCAGTGTTGTCTAAACGGGACTTAGCCGAACAGTAGGTTTTGGTAGTCATTTTCCCCCCAAGATTTGACTAACAGCTACCAAATACGTCAAGGCTGTGCACACGCACACACACACACATACACACAGTATATGCATATGTATGTATATATGTACACATACATAAAAATAGGAACACGAAACACCTAGCCATTTTCTGGGGAGTGTGATAACTTACTGGTCTAATAAAACGTGTGGCACTTATTAATTCTGGATCTTTTAAAGACAAGGAATGTAGCTCAGAGAATTAAAGCGGGGTGGTAGAATATGTACCTGAAGGTTCACAGAAAAAAAGAAAAGGCCTGGATACACAGGAAGTGCATATATTATATGATTTCTCACGGCTACTTCTGACTCCAAGGATTTCTGAATCTAAATGCTACATCATTAAGAACTTTTAAAGTAAAACATAAAGCAAGGGAAATGTGTTAACTATTATGGGGAGATTAAAGAGATTAAATAGATTTTCTTTAGATTTTCTTTTTTTTCACATCATGTAGTCATTTACTATAGAAATGAAAACGGGACATCTGTAAATTGGATGGGGGGAAAAAAGACATCATTATTTTCACGAAGTTGTGATGGAAACTTAGCATTCCATTCAACTATTAATGTAAGCAACAAACACAGGTCAGATTAGCAGTAACTCTGACGGTGTCACCAATAGAAATTCCAGAGATTTTCATCTCACATCACCTAGACGAACCATTTCTTCTCAATAATTAGACCAAGTACTACATCTTTCATTTAAGGAGTTCATAAAGAAGCACAAATGAATTTGCTAAAAAATGTGTTTATAATGCTCTGAAAACCACATTTCAGTATTTTTGGTTTCTCTTAGAAACGGTGCAGTTTTACTTTGTGATTTAAAAAAGTCAAACCAAGAGGAGTCCAGACGCTTCACTAAGCTGTCAGAGGCATTAAAAAGAAAAAGTTAAGCACCCCAGATGACATTATGTACTCCTCCAGTCCAAAAATATAATGATTATATTTGCAGGAGGAAAAAAAAATAGAGTACACAATTTGAGGAAAGTGTACAAACGAATTTTTCAGCTATTCTGGGTTGCCAACTTAACCTAGTCCCAAACTTCACCAACCCAAAAGGCAACCTTCAAATTTTCTCTGCTTTCCTTAGACTCAAAGATCTTCTGGGAACATATACAGGGCTTTGTCCCACTGTCATGTTTCTGGGGCTCCCAGAAACCTGAAGTCAAAGATTCCAAGGTTTTCACTAGCCTTCCTTTCCTTCCAACAGGGTAGCGCTTTCCCTGCCTCGCCAAAACTTACCCAAGAGAGAATAATTATTAGTTCCATGTTCATAAATTGTTTTTTCTCATACAGAAGCCAGTATAGAAAAATATGAGATCCATGTTAGTTTTAGAATAATACAGTCTGCTTAACTCATGTTTTGTTTTGCTGTTCTTCAATTAGCGTAAGAATTCTTTCTGAGCTCACGGCCACAACTGTAGGCCATGTGAGTAGTGTCCCCAGGGGTGTGCAGTACAGAGCCTGTGACAGTCTGTTTCTGAGAGTTTTTTAAATCACTCAAACATTCTGATTCTAACAAACTCACAGACCTTGGCCTTCAGTGGGATATAGAGATTATATCCTTTGTCGTAACTGGTTGAAGTCACTAAAATTCAGCCCAGATCATGTCTAACTTCTTAACAGGGCATAGCTACAAAACTTGGCTGGGAAGAGGTTTTTTTCATGCCCTGGGAGACTGTAATTACAACTAAAAAATATTTTAAACAGTGTATTCTGTTTCCATGTTAACCAAGACATAGGCTTCTCACCAAATATACGACAAAATCCTGAGAATCAACTTGTAAGACATGTAACACTGTAAAACATATCACCAAACTAGGCTCCTGAGGTAAGAATATTAACTTTTCCCCCCACTATTAAAACAAACCATTTTAGGGGCGCCTGGGTGGTGCAGTCGGTTAAGCGTCCGACTTCAGCCAGGTCACGATCTCGCGGTCCGTGAGTTTGAGCCCCGTGTCAGGATCTGGGCTGATGGCTCAGAGCCTGGAGCCTGTTTCTGATTCTGTGTCTCCCTCTCTCTCTGCCCCTCCCCTGTTCATGCTCTGTCTCTCTCTGTCCCAAAAATAAATAAACGTTGAAAAAAAAAAAACAAACAAACCATTTTATGCTAGTTCACATGAAATGCAGGTTGCACACCATGTGATAGGACTTCTCAAGAGAGTCAGTGCCCCACATGGCAGGGTGCTATCTACATGTTTGAATCCTGGGACTGATGGCCATAAAATAAAGGCATTATTTTACACAGACATGAAAAATTGTACAACCAGTATTGCTTTTAGGATGACTAAAATAACTCAAAGGGATGACAAGAGGGCCCCTCTGTTTGAAGAGAACATTCTGTGGATGGCTTCAAGATCTTACCTGCTGAACTGTGGAGTTCCCGCCATTTAAGATTGCAATTCCAAGTTTCAAAGTCGCCGCTACCATTGGTCCAGTATCACCTTCAAAATATAAAAAATGGCGTTCCTTATATCATTTCACCCACTTCATTAACCATTTCTGTCTCAAAACATATACTTTTAAAATTATTATCACCCCCCCCTACAAATCTGTATAATGGAGTAGGACAGACTGACTTACAAATCAAAAAATACTAAACGAGTAATAATGCTTATTTTGCCAGCAGTGTTTTTACTCATCTTGTGGAATTTATCCAAGAATTGAAACTAGATGAGGACATTGAAGAAAAAAAAAAGAAACAACTTATTTTTAAATACAACTAAAACTGTCAAGATTTAAAACTAATTGTGCATATTAAAGTAATATTGAAAAAAATAAGGGCTACCTAGAATTTTAAGGAAAATTCCTCTCTCTCCTTCTCTCCTCTCTCTCTCTCTCTCTCTCTCTCTCTCTCTCTCTCTCTATATATATATATATATATATATATATTATTTGAGCAAGAGCACACACAAGCAGAGGAGAGGGGCAAAGGAAGAGAGAGAGAAAAGAAAGAGAAAAGAGAGAGAAATGAATGAATGAATGAATCCCAAGCAGGCTCCAATGCAGGGCTCAATCCCACAACCTTGGGATCATGACCTAAGCCAAAATCAAGAGTCAGGTGCTCAACTGACTGAGCCTCCCAGGCACCCCCTCTCCCTTCCATATTATGTTTGAACAACTTTTATAATTTTCATTTTAGCACTTTTTATCTTACTATGTTTATAGTATTGCTTTATTAGGATGACTGCCTAATTTGAAGTTAGTCACTCAAATAATAATGACAAAATTTATTCATTTATATTTTTAGTAATCTCTACACCCAACATGGGGCTCAAACTCATAATCCTGAGATCAAGAGTCACATGCTCTATGGACTGAGACAGCCAGGTGCCCCAATAACAATAAAAATTTAAATCCAACCAGTTGTCTACCCTTAGTCTATTTTACTTTTACATTATCCACCTCTACTTATCTTAGAAATACAATAATAAAAATAACAGAAATAGAAATAATAATAGAATAATAGAAATAAATACCTTAGTGATCTGGGAGAGGGGTGTTTAATAAAGTTTTATTAGAACTCAGCCACACGGCTGGTTCACATATTGTCTCTGGCTGCTTCCATGCTACTATGGCAGAGTCGAAGGGTTGTGACAGAGACCCACGGCCAGGAAAGCCGAAAATATTTACTATCTGGCCTCTCACAGAAAACACTGACCCACCCCTGATTTATTGTGTCACGACAGAATTTCCAAAACTTAAGGACCAGAAATAAAGTAAAAATTTGAATAAGATTCTGAAAAAAAAAAATCCACATTGGACTGGGTTAATGAGAGCCTGCATTTCTGAAGTCACCTGACCTAGGGATGAACAAGAGATTCAGGGACTAGATAAGTCAGGAGGAGTTAAAGAGGGGTGCTCCGGGAGACTGAAGGGGTGTGAGGGGAGCAGCGAGCCTCACCTTTGCTGGCACTGATGGTCTGTAGCACCATCTCAGCAGCCCCGCGGTCATGGAGCCTGGCTTGCTGGTACAGAAGCTTCTGCTTCTCCATTTCTTTTTCCTGAACACAAATCCCAACCATTTATGTTGCGGCTGTCATGAAACACAGCAGCTTTCTACAGACCATATTTTCAGTCATCTCTTCATGTATGGGCTCTATGACAACATCATGGACCATTTCAACACCAACTATGTTATTCAACAGATGTTAACAATATTCAACTCTCGGTTTTGCCCTTTATATTTTTCTTGGTATACTTTTGGTACTGGCTTATCCGGATGGATTTTCTCAATTTTAATTGTTTGATTAGTCCAAAGCCTGTATCACAGTTTTGAAGTACTGAACTTCATCACTGAAACGTGCACTTTCTGAACGATACATTTGTGCAGAAGTCTGTCACGTTTTTAATCATCTCCCATGCCATGGCCATAACTTGATACTGCTCAGCAAATGGCTCGAGTTGCAAGTTATCACTAAATGACAGGAAAACATGAACTGAGACGTGTTGGAGTTTAAGCGAAATTGAAAGCGGATATGAATAAAAAAGGTAGGCTTCAACTAAGTAGCGGACTTATGATACGCATCTCCCCGGTCACCCCCCCCAAGAATAAAAGAAGCAATGTGCCTTTATATTTTGTATTCTCGGGTGGTAACAAACGATACTGCATGGTGCTGCTCGAGCAATGGCTGGGGTTTGGTTCTTTTCCACTGAGACTACCACTGAAAACATAAAGAAGAAAATAAAAATAAAATATAAAGGCACAGCAAGTTCAAGACTGGTAGGATCATTCACTTGAGCTATCCAGTTCGCTGGAGAATTGAGACGGAACTAAGCAGTATAAGTTGCAAAATGGAAGTTGCATAGAGCCCTAGGACAGCGAGTCCATCAAATGGCGTGGTAGAGAAGCTTAGTCAATGGGACATGAAACGGTCAATTAGTATCATGTCCATAAACACAACGGCCAAAACATATATGACCTAAGAGCAGGAAGAGCCGCAGCAGAAGTAGCCAGAGTGACAGTTTGCTGCCATAAACTTTCCATCCAAAGTACGGAAAATAGACACAGGAAGATGGAAGAGGTTTAAAAAATGAAGGCTTGCTAGTTACAGAATATGAAAAAGAAAGTAAACTAAAAGGAGGAGGGGGGGAAGAAATGGGCTCAAACAAATGAAAAAAAAAGAAACCTTCAAATCAAAAGCAACCAACACAGACATTTATGCTGTTACCAGAGAGTTCTCGCCGAGGCTGGCAAATTTGTTTCTTAAATCTTTGATAATATCGTGCTGCGAAAACAAAATTGATCAGGGTTTTTTTTCACACTATAGTTAGAGCTCCTGTGGTTAACGTTTAATTTTTTTTCTTAAATTATGTGATAGGTCTAAATGGAAGCAGAGAAAAGAAAAAAAAAAGGCAGCTTTGCTTCATATGTATAGCCATGCTAACATCTAAAAGGGTTGCCTTCATGTTTAAACCTCTTCCTGCAAAGTCAAGAACAAAACGAAAACAAAACCACACAGACACACAAAACCATATTGTCATTACAACACAGTTTCAGAAAAACTGAAAGACCCTTTCGCCTGCTCTTCAGGTGTGGTCTAAAATTGGTCACAGCAACATTTGATCCCTCCTTTTAGACCCAACAATCTTTCACGTTCTTCCCGAACTCTGCACTTGTGCTTCCCAGTGTAACCAATTCCTTTGGTGGAAGACTTTTTCAGCAAGACAGCGGTAAGACGTTATTGGCCTAAGGAACCACCCTAGCATTTTCATCTACTAAAGAGGCAAGGGAGTTAGAAAGACTGATTTTCTACTAACCCAATAAAATGTATGAAGACAGTCATCAGGAAAAACCCAAAGAAGACGGAAGATAGCATCATGCCGTATATTCTCGAGGGGGGAAAAAACAAACGAACAAAAAATAGAAAATCCTTTGCTGTTTGTGCTACAAAAGTAGGTGGACCAGCTCGAAGATCTGACAGAACAATTTGCACAATACATTCTAGATCCTGGTATCCTCTGCAGTAACTGAAATCGCGCCTGATGGATGAAGGTCAGAGGATCAAGAGACAGAGAATATTCAATTGCCTTCTTAAAAAAAAAAAAAACAAAACAAAACAAAACAAAAAAACTCCCTGGGCAGAGGTCACCCTCCTTTTTCTCACACAGCATCTAAATTTCAATATTAATAAATACTTCAGGGGAGATGATGATTCATCTGATAAAACTACTGACCGAAAAAAGATATACTGATCTAGAAGCAGGAAAGCCATACTTCATAAGGAGGGATCAGGTCAACCTCTAGGCTTGAATTTCTTCTTTGTCAGATTGAGTTGGAAGCTTTCTCTTCGGAAGATATTTAATATTATTTCTTTCTGGTACTTTGTCCTTTGAGAAGTGCTTCCTGGGTATGTAATTTAATCCCTCCATTGGAAATTTTATCACAGTGTAATAAAATAAAACCTCGAAAGCTAAACCCAGAAGTTTTCAGACAATAAAATGATGGATTATGTGGAAAGAAAGAAAATTATTTCATTTCAACCTCACTGCAGATTAGTTTTTCTAAGAAAACTGAAGATAGGTCTTTTTAAAGAATTTTACTCAGGGAAACAGTACCCTAAAAGTAGCTTTTTAAAGCATCTTTTTAAGAGTAGCGTCCTGTCCCATCCCAGATTCTGCCTAAACTGCCACTGAGTCTTAAATAAACATTATACCTTCTACTTTAAGTTCAGTCTCTAAATCATTCATTCTAAGGTTACAAAAGAAGGTTGAGGGGAGGAGGAGGTCCAAAGTTTCAATTTTCCCCTAGGCAAAAAGTTCTGATTACCAAGAGCAACCAGAAATTACCAGCTGTTTTCCTCAGAAGATTGCTATGAACCTTTTCAAGGTCAATAGTAGTAATAAATCAGACCCATGATCAAATAGCAGGCATTGAATGAAAGTATTCAACATCATGACTGCATTTAGTATGACTGAAGTTTGTAATAAAATATTAAGATTCTTCCATTTTTTCCTAGAGTGCCTTGCGTTTAGCATTTGATGGGGGGTGGGGGGAGGGGAGAGGAATTGAAAGGCCTGAAGAAAAAAATCATCCATTCAGTTCTTCAACAACTTGTCTTATAGGAGAAAAATATGGAACTTAAAAAAAAAAAAATTACAACCGCCCCTTGCTTCTTGATGGAGAAAATAGTTTATCCCTATGATGGAGATGAAAGATATTTTAAAGTAGGTCAGCCTTTTGAGAGCAAAACTTTTACACTGAAACTGATGGACCCTCCTCGGTTATGTGGGCATTTGGGGCCGCGTGGACATCCCAGCTACAGTCAGTACATAACGCCACAGAAGCCCAGTTGGCTTGCCTTTTTTTGTTTTTTCTCTTTGCATTTCCAAGCATTCAGCAACTGCTGAAAAGGTTTTCATAATGTTTTCCTCTTCAGCTGCATGTAGAGGCTAGTTCTGAGTTTTCTAGGAGCTGAACTCTTTCTATAAATATTTCCCATAATTTCATAATAAGTCAATCTTACCTATTCTTATTTGGCACCTTAAAAGTAGTCACAACCTACAAGGTGATGTTGAACCTCAACATTATAAGAAAAAGAAGACGGAAATTTAGAAGTCAATTGGGTGACTATGGGGGTTAAGAGCAAAAGGCAGTGAGATGGTAACCCTTTGGTTTACAACACAAACAGGCCAACTCCGACTAAGGGAAAACAAAAATCTAGCTGGGAGTCACGTTCTACACTTCAATTATTTTTGTTCAGTATTCCAGTTTCTGAAACTGTAGGTTGGCCACATTTATAAAGAGTCGACTTGCAGTCCTAGGAAAACACTTCAGATTCTAACTCTGTCTAGTAACAATGGCCCCCCCACATTTATAAATTTTAAATTTAATTTCTTAAAAATTAAATGAATGTATATGGAGTTTCCTAGAAGAAAATCTCCATGAGACCAGGGGCTAATAGTCTTGTCTGCCTGTTTTAACCACAAGGATTCATATACTACAGATGCAGTAACGTTCCCTGCACATCACAGGTGTTCAAGAAAATGTGTGGAATGAATTGCAGAACTAAACAATGAATCCCAGCATATTTAGAACTAACCACTATGATGCTGAAGCAATAAAACCCAGCCGCATTGAAATAATTATCTATTTCAGGGACCTGTTGGCAAAATGTATACTACATCTCACACATACACACAAAAACTCCATGAACAAAATATAAAGTGGCGTGGGGGGTGGGTGGGGAGAATGAGCAATTCTAAAATCAGAAGGTATCAAATTAGCAATGTTAGATTAAGTTATCATGAGAGGGAATGTGGTTTGTCCTGAGCACAAAATTGATTTAGAACAGCGTTCATTTACCCATTTGGTTGCTTAAGCCTTAAAAGCATCAAATAGTGCCTTGAATATAGAAGGAAATGCTATGCAGTCCCACTAGCCTGATGAAAGAGAGAACAAGAAAAATAAGGTGATTGGCAGTCTCTAATAATATGGAGGTATGGTTAGATCATGAAGGTCCCAGAGTGTTGGAAAAATTCATGGGAAAAGGGAGAAGTTAGAATACATTTTATCATAGAATGGATGACAACTCATTATCTGGGTTTTGACTTCTCTCAGTGCTAGTTGTTTTAAGGGTCTATAATTCTAAGTTTTCACAAATGATTACTGATCCTTCCCCAGATCAACTCTTGAGAAACAGATGTACTCGATAACAGTCTTGAATATTACCTGTTCAGCTGAGAGAGGGCTTTTTCTGGAGACTGTCTTAAGGATACACAGTCCTTCTGTTATTCCAGACTCTGGGTACTTATCCTGTGCTCAGCCACCTTCAGATGTCACCTGTACATCTGGATTTTATTGTATATGTTCTCAAATAATTACTTATACTGAATTTCTGAAGACCTTTATCATTATATCACATGCTGTCCTTTTCATGAAGATCCTCAGGAATTTTTGTTTCTCCCAAAGAAGATGACTATGTTTATTTTATTGATATAGTGAACTGTGCAATTTATGTGATAGAATGTGGACTCCTGGAAAGCTCATCGTAATCAGTAATGCTGACCAACTCCAGCAAATTAGCAAGACTCTAAGGCATGGGTTTCTGGATTAATCTCATTCTTAGAAGGCTCCATGTGTCCCTGAACCCCTATTATCCCTCAACACTTTTCCCTTTTTTATCTAACTGTATCAGGTATAATTGTGTGATACTTTGAATACCAACTAACTAGAATTTAAATACAAACTTGAAACAAACAAACAAACAAAAAATGCCAAAAAGGTAGAGACAGGTATATATGTACAGAAGCTAAGCTATTTTCTACAAAACATTTTTAATGTGACATTTCTATTCTAAAAACTATGAAGTTTATTTTTTTTCCACTCCTCCACAAAAGATTGGAAGAAAAAGTAACAAAAGTTTGCATGCGTCTACCAATATTCTTGCATTTAGATGAATTATGAGATTTCCCTGAAAAATTAAAAGAACTCACCCATGAAAAGCAAATCAACACTTTTAAAGCTGGGTGTGACCCCTGAGAACATCTAGTTCAAAACAGAAAAAGCTGAGGCACAGAGTAATTTAAATATGACCCCTGAAGGTCACCTGGATGAGAACCCAGGTCTCCTGTCCTGTGTAGTTCTGTGTTCACCCTCCTGGGAAAGTTTCTCTAAGGGCTTCCCCGGCTTGATTTTATACGAAGGTAGAACTGATTAAAAGTAATAGTAACAACAAATATCTATAGAGTTTGTTATATGATAGTCAATGTTCTGAGTGTATTATATGTATGAACTAATTCGATCCTCACCACAGTCCCATGAAATAGAATCTATAATCAGCCCCATTTTATAGACAGGATAATTGAGGCTTCAGGCTGGTAGAGCTGGGATTCAAATACAGGTGGTTCATTCAACTGATCTGCTGTTACGCATCTGCTGTACATAATGCAGTCAAGCATAAACCTCGACTGAGATTATTTTTAAAACACCAGCACATGAAGTCAAACTGTCATGCGCAGCAAAAATGCACAATTATATGTGTAAATGTATATTCCATACAGTTTGCTATTTAGGTGCACACACCCAATATGCACGAGTCACCATCACCATATACAATATAGAGGACTGTGCTTTCTAGGAACTTTCCTCCTACCAGGACTGTACTCCATCCTGCCCCATACCCCTTTCTCTCCAAGACTTGGCAATTTGCCATACTTCTGAGACAGCGGGCCCTAGAAATGGCTCACAGCATTACTGTGGTTATGAAACCTGGCTCCTGTCATCACTACTACCCACTAAGGAGTCCCCACGCCCATGTATACAGCGACTGTAGTGCCTGAACACAGCTGGACCCACGCTGGCTTTGGCTTCCCCAAAGGGTGCATGAAAAATCTGCTTAACATCAGGAAGTATGAAGAAATTAAGCCCCTGTAGCCAATAACAGGTAGGAGGTGGGACAGAAGCAGCACTCATCCTTCGTCCCCATTAGGCACTGTTCCAAGATGCATATGGTCAATTCTAGGGCCATCTGACACCACTGTTGAATAGCTGTGGTCAGCTCAAGAATGCACTATCTTGTATTTGCTCGCTCTCCTTCCTTAGATCATCCATTCTCTTTTGCCCTCACTCTTACCTCCCCTGGGATTGTAACACCCCTCAACCCCAATAAAGTGTTAGCACATAATCTCTTTGCCCTGTTTTCCAAGGAACCTGGGCTAAGACATGGGGGTATTACTTGAGAGCGATGATTTCAGTATATAACAGTGCCGTTAGTGGGATGCAGCCAGAGACATGAGAACAGTGGCCATCAAAATTCCCTATCCCTTCTCTATGGTTCAACAGTACAATAAGCAACTCAACACTTTAGCCTGCGTTTTGGGTACCATGGTGCTTCTGCAGAAGAAACAAAGCAACTATAAGTTTACCTGATAAAAAGAATCATTGTTTCAATGTTCTAGATCCAAAGCTATATCTTTGACTTTTTATATTTAAGGGCTGTCTTTGGTAAGACTTGGGGAACCCTTCTAATTTAAATTGCTTTGTTCCTACGGACAGAATTAAATGAACCCATTCAAAGATCGAATTATATAGCTGCTGGAGGGTACATCTTACAGCCAATTCATTCTTGCAGGATTGCCAAAGAATGGAATTCTATTCAAAATTAGATCATTGGAGGGGCCAGACAAAGGCAATTTTATCACTGGGTACAGCTATATAGCATCAGACCTTAAAGACATTTGGGCCTAAATGGATTCTTCCACACTCAGTGATGCATATTTTGGAATATGAGGTGGGTACTGGTCTGAATTCTTTAGCAGGTACGATGATATTTTAGTTATGCCTGAGGCCCATCTGGGACAGAATACAAGTTAGTCTCCTAAAGCTTTTTAATACAGAATATCAACTCTGGAATAGGCATTTTTAGCATTTAACAGAGTAGCAATTCTCTTTAATCAATAGTACAGGATAATAGGACCTCAGGGACTCAGCAGAGAATTCATCTGTGAATTAGAAATTGGGCATTTGCCAAAGGATGATGCAACTTGCCTAATATTTGAGAAAGATGGTTTAGAAGGCAAGTTAATGCTCCATTCCTCTGGCTTACTTAAGCTCCACTGTCATTAATTTGGAGTTTTATTAAGAAATAAATCTATATTATAGTACCTTAATATTCCACAGAAATCCTTCCATTGAATTAGCATTTAATGCCACACACTCAGAGTTTAGAGAACAGCATTAGAAAAGCAGCAGCCATCTGGGGGACGTTTCTGTGTCTTTTGCAAAATCATAGTTTAAAAATGTGGTTTACTCTGGTACCAAATCTCTTTGTTCATCTAGGTGAAAAAACCCATCATGCTCCAGAGAAAGAAGTTATTTGACCTGCAACATTATTAATTTGTTATTATTATTATCTGCTTTGGCATTTGAAAAATCCAAAGCTAAACAAAGTGTTCAACTATAGTAATAAACATCTCAAGTAATTGCTAAAACATTTCTTCCCTTTCAGTTACTCTTGGCCTCTTCTTAAGATTTAACTGTCCTTTTGTGTAGTTTTAGTATTGAAGTAGTCCCAAATCTAAAAAGAGCTATATATAATAAACTAAATATGCAACAAAATTATTAAATAGTTACAGGAAGAGAATATTTACGTATATTATTGATGAAGCAGGGAATCGAGTTATCAAGTTAAATCAAGCAAGTTTTAACATAATCGTATCAGCAAAACACACATGTGATGGAAAAAGAAAAGAGCTGTCAAATACTCAGCATTTTAGTCCCCACCTCCTGTGTTGAACATTTCTTAAACTTTACTTCACCCCTGCATGGAAATTTTCCCTATAATGCCATCTTTTAAAAAGACCTAGTTTCTTCTCAGTATCTTCACTGAATACTTACAGATGAAGAATTTAAGTAGAAACACACCAAATGTTAATAATTAGTCAGTTATGGGGATGAAATTAAACTACCACACACTTTAGGTTATTCCCAAATTTGTTTAACATCATTCGTTTTAAGAATTATTGAAACAGCCAAATAAGCTTTCACATTTATTGTATCTTGGATGAAAACTTCCACTCTTAGACTATCTCTAAGTGATGTTAAACAACCAGACACTTCAATGTAAAAAGTCTGGGAGATTACTAAACTCATAAAGAAAAAGCAATAATCCAGTTGTCTGGTCAATGTTCAGTGGTCCTGTTGGTATCACAGAGTCAACCTCAGACAAGAGTATCTTCATAGGCAGCTGCTTTCATGTCTCTTTTTCAAACTGGTAAGAGTTCATATTGCTTACTCATGGAGTACGTACTTTGTGAAACGTAGCATGCTATGCAAATTAGGCATATATAATAAGTTACAGTCCTGAATCACATGGAAATACAGTAAAACATCTGGTTAAGAGGTGAACATTCCCACATCTTGTCTATGGTTATGCACATGAATAAGTGGCAATCATAAGCAACTTTAAAATCCTGTTTTGGGGGGGGGGCAGTTATACCTGGGGGTTTACATCTTCTTTCCTGTGGTTAATTGCCAGGCTTCACCAGTGTTTGAATGTCCTGCCAATCATTCTTAGTCCAGGGCACGCAACCTCTTCCCTCAGGTCAGGCTCCATGCCTCACCTGATCTCTTGGCTTCAGTCTGACCTGAATCCTAGACAGATTCCACCACCAGCCATTCCTAGACTTCTGTTTTGAATAGGGAACTTCTCTTTTTTGAATAAGGAACCACCAGATTCGACCCTATTTACCAAACCGGATTTGCTTTTAGATCTCCCTGAAACTGTATTCCTCTCTCAAAGTAAGATGGTTTTCTTAACCAGCAACACATTCCTGACCTTCCTTATCTATCCGTATCCCACAGATATCAATACACTCTTGGGGCATGAACTTTAGTGCTAGGAAATCAAATCTTTGGTTTCTGCTAGGAGGTCCCTTCATGTTTTCAATTCTCAATAATTCACAAGAATTATACCTGAGATAATCAGTGATAAAAACATAAATACCAGCTTAGTATCACACTCATTATTACCTACTACTTAAGCCCAGAATATATTATTGTCATATCTCACATGTCATTAACTATATTATATCCATCCAATTAGAGTTAAATCTGACAGCTGTATGAACTCAAATTTTTAAATTTATAAGGATCATAATGTACGAATAATATATTCTTCCAAATATAACAGTGAGTTAAAGTATTATCATTTGTTTCTTCTAAATAGATTCTTCATGACATTATAAATTCATTTTAACAGTAATTTTTTTTTTAACTAAAGCCATGATGGGTATTTTTTCCCTGGGATGTTCTAATCAATTTTCCTATGAACTAGTGTCATGAAAATAATATGTAAACTAACAGGGTTCATAACAAAGGAAAATGGTTGTAATGCTGCATCAAGATGGGTTTTTTTGTTAGATAACTTTCCAAGTGCTCAGTTATTCAAAACATTAAGAGATAGAAGTAATCATCAAGTTGTTCCCTGTAATGAAATGCTGAAATCGACATTAAAATTGTGGAGCAGCCTCTCTGATTACTAACTAGGGGTATTACGAGCACAATAGGAAAGCAGGCTTCCTTCCAATCTCATCAGCAATGCCATTTGTCGTGTCTCTTTTCGAGTAACAAGACTCCTATTCAAGAAACATCAAGAGGGATGAGGCCAGAATGCTGTACTGAAAGACCCTTAGCTGAAAGGTAATCAGCTAAACGGCTGGCCTTTGACCCCAGCCCAGCATGCAGCCCAGGGTTCACATGTAGGATAACATTTCAATTACGAGTCATTGGAATGGCAAGAATAAATCTGCATCAAGGAACGGGCACCGAAGGGACCAATTGCATTAGAGCTACAAACTCGTAGAAAGATTGCAAGACCTTTTATTACAAAAGAATCCAAGATGTTGGGTCTAACAAAGGTAAATGTCACAAGAAACCGAAACTCAGACCCAGACAAATACACACATATATATATAGTTTTACCTTGCTGCGTTGGGATCCTGTGACCTTAAGGAAGGATGAGGACAAGAAGCAAAATAGCAATAAACAATTGCTCGGAAGACAACTGACAGACCATAAATGGTGTGCACTTCAGAAAAAAACAGTATTATTTGCTGCTCAGAGCTCACTCGAATTTACCTCAGTTTCTTATCAATAAAGATGGATTTGAGAACAGAACACACATACTTTCGAAAAGATTATAGTGTCATGTAGGAAAATTAATCTTATAGCATCTTAGTCAGCAACAGTCACAGGGTATTCTCAGATTAGTTTTCGTACTTTCTACACATTGACTTCAATGCTGCAGAGATGCTGTATCGAATTGTTTCTGGAAGGGACACTACTCTTTGTCCACCCCTCAACCTCTACCTTTTTATGGGACCACTGTAATTAAGGACCGACTGCTGGCTACTAATCTGTTTACAGACTTCTGGCTGGAAATCCAGGTATGTAATAGGAAAAAACAAATAATGTAATCTGTTTCTTTCCACTTCATTTTTTTTTGAAAATTCTATAAAGAAAAAAAAAAAAAAAAAAAAAAAAAAAAGAAAAAAAAGAAGGGGTGGTTAGCAACAACTCCTTTTTTTTTTTTTTCCATAGAAAACAAAAGTCAAGTCTAAATAAAGGGGGAAAATAATACTGACTTCCCTTCTGGCTAACTGATATTGAGCAGTCTTTCTAATTTTCTGGATATTTACAAGCTGAGAACATTGAGAAAATAATCATAGAATAGAACGTAGCCCTAGGAATATATGCATTCCTACCTCATGCAAGCAAACTGCGTTCTGCACCACCATCTACATATGATCAGGAAATGAGTGACCTAATTGGGTTGAAGTCAAAAGACGCTGAATCTTTTAGGAGTTCTTCAATTCAGAAGAAAATATCAAACCAAGGGTTTAATTAAAAACTCGATGTCATGTTGCTCTTCAGTGAGTATTTTCCTCACATGTCCGTTGGAAATTTCAGATCCCAACATTCACTGAGATGAGAACAATTTGAAGTGATCTCATCTCGGAAGGTTCTCAGGAACACTCATTCTGAACATATGGGTTTTATTGGATTATTTCATTACTCTACGTTCCTTGGTCTTAACTTTAGCAAATGTTAGGACTCAGATCTGTCTATCCAGCTTCTGACATGCAGTTCCTTGACACAATAAGCTGCAATAAGCCATGAAGCAAGAAACATAAATGTCAGTTATAAGCTATGAAACAATGTTTCAAAGTAGAAAAAAAAAAGACAAATCTAGAAAGATCCATCTTACTTCAAAACTCTTCACTTCTTCTTCACCATCATCATCTTCCTCATCATGACAACTCTGATACATGGAAAACATTAAAAAAAAGTCAGCAGGATTAGAATATGTTGAGGCAGGAGGTACAAAAGAATGTTGTGTAGAACACCAAATCATTGGTATTAATTTATCATTGACATTGTTTAAATGGATGTGTCAGATACAGTAAACGTGGACGGCATGACCAATGAATTCATGACCTACAAGAAAATGATACTGTGCTTTTACAAAATCAAAATATTAAATTGCCAATTTAAGTAATACAGATACATGCAATAACTGAATAAAATTAACAGAAAACATGTCCATTATCAAAGTGTATCTTGTAATCCTTTAAATTCATTTTTATTGTAATTGAGCCAAAAGAGGAAATGAAATTCTAGCTGCTAATATTACTCTTTAATAGAAAAATAAGTAAACTATTCTATTATTTTGAGTTATTTCCCCAGAAATGATAAAGGAGGTATAGTAATCCATGCATACATTTTAATCTAATTCCCACAGCTAAAATTTTTGTTTGATAAATTGTGTGAGGACACAGAGTGTCTGTGCTTCAAATCCTAATGCTGCCAATTATTAGCTGTTTAGCTTAGGGCAAGTTCCCTTACCTCTCTGGGTCTCCCTTTCGTCATATTTAAGATGGGAATAAGAAAAAGAGGACCAGGGTTCCTGAGAAGATTATACGAATTAACATATGCTAATGGTTTCCCACTTAGAAATAAGTGTCTGAAAATAATAAGCATTTAATACATCTCAACTGCTACTATTATTATGGTTGACCAAAGGAGGCTGTCACTAGCCAATAGCTATGGCAGGTGAAAAACCTTGAGTTCTTCAATGTTAGATCGTTCCAGCCTTTCTAAAGATTCCTTACGGTCGGCAAGCACTCAGTGTATCAGTGAAGTGAATGGTGGCAAGTAATTAAATATAAGCTACAAATCAGAAAAATGCTTTCAATTCAATGATTGCCTGTATTTTGAGTAGAGAGATGAAGAGGGGGTGGGAGAGAAGGCATAGAATGTGATCCTCCTACCCACACAATAATATTCTGTTGTTCATTCAACAAATATTGACTCTCACCCTTTCCAATTCAGAATAAGACTGACAACATGCTTTGCCAAGAAGAAAATAAAGGGCACATAGACCTGTGACAATTTTGCTCTTTGAAAAGGTGTTCAGTAGTGTGCTGCCCCCCAGAAACAAAGAAGTGAATTATTTATTCAGAGGGTGGGGGATTATCTGCTAGGTGCTTGGCTTCCAGGTAATCAGTTCACCAGGAATTTTAAAAATAAGAACCCATGATGACTTTAGCAAAACATATCTGCAAGGCAAATCTGTGGTCATCTATAACTACTATGTATCTCATGTTAAATACAGAGGACTTTTGGCCTATCTGCCCTCTAAGATTACCAATGTAATATTTCACTCTTCTGCATTAATTAGAAGTGAAGCATGGGGTGCCTGGGTGGCTCAGTCAGTTAAGTGTCTGACTTCGGCTCAGATCATGATTTCGCAGCCCGTGGGTCTGAGCCCCACGCAGGGCTCTGTGTTGACAGCTCAAAGCCTGGAGCCTGCTTTGGATTCTGTACCTCCTTGTCTCTCTGCCTCTCCCCAACTTGCACTCTGTCTCTCTCTCAAAAATAAATAAATATTAAAAAATTTAAAAAAAAAAAGAGTAGTGAAGCACAGGGATTTTAGCAAGTAACAAGCATGTTTACTATTTAAGCAAATTAGAACACTAATATGAAATGTCTCCTAATGGATAATTTTAAATTATCTCCTATATGTTTTATTACCTTTAAAAATAGCAAGAAGGAAAAAAAATAGCAAGAAGAAACAAGTTACAAAAAAAAAAAAAAGGTTATTTATTTATTTATTTATTTATTTACTTACTTATTTATTTTGAGAGAGAGAGAGAGCAAGTGAGCATGGGAGGGTCAGAGAGCAAGGGAGAGAGGTATCCCAAGCAGGCTCGGTACCGCCAGCCCAGAGCCCAATGGTAGGGCTCGAACCCACACACCGTGAGATCATGACTTGGGCCGACACCAAGAGTCAGACATTCAACCGACTGAGCCACCCAAGTGCCCCTTGAAATCAAGAATATATTCAGAAAAATCATCATTTTAGGTTATAATGATATATGCTTTTAAGCTATAAAAGTCATAGGATATGCTTGCTTTTAGAATTCCTTCAGGAATTTATAGCTCTAGGTGACAGATTTTTTTTTTACAAAAGTTTTTAAGTAAAATAACTACTTAATAAATCTTTCCATGAAAATTTAGTGAGATTTGCTCCAGTCAGGTTAAAATTTGTGATTTTTAGGACCTATTAAGCCTCAAATTGGAATATACATCAAACCTATAAACGACTTTGAACTTCTATTGATTGCATACGTTGAGGGTATGCTGAGACCACAAGAAAACTACAACAGATCTGCAATTTTTTAATGTATTGGGAAGAAAACGAAGGATTCACATGTATACGAGATACATTTTTCAGTAGCAAATGGCATCTGTGTGATATATAGGGTAAGTAAATAGAGTTCTATTAGATGGTCCTAACACACAGGATTTAGCTTTCTGCACCAAAATGACAAATTCTAGGCAAGGAGTGATACCATATGCCAGGAAGGAAACAGTGAATAAAATCCATACATAAAGGAGCAGAAGTGTGGAATAAGGGACTTTGGAATTAAAAAAAAAAAAAAAAAAAGAGAGAAAACTAAACTGGAGGATACTTTGGGCCATTCCAGCAACCAGATCGAAATTCACAATTGGTGACGAGAATCCATAAGCAGTAAGTAGGGCACTTCACATGGCCAGCATCTGCTGGGAATTTCTTTCTGCAAAGCAAGTATATTTCACACATTGTTAAGTTGCCCTTCTGACTGTGTCATGCCTCAGAAGATGGAGGAGGCAAAAACCAGAAACTTTTAGCATGCATGTAAATCTAAAAGCTAATGGGTGAGGGGTGCCTGGGGGGCTCAGTCGGTTAAGCGTCCGACTTCAGCTCAGGTCATGATCTCACGGCTCCTGAGTTCGAGCCCCGTGTTGGGCACTGTGCTGACAGCTCAAAGACTGGAGTCTGCTTCAGATTCTGTGTCTCCCCCTCTCTCTCTAACCGTCACCTCCCCTCCACTCTCTGTCTCAAAAATAAATAAACATTAAAACAAAAAAGTTTTAAAGCCAATGACTGAGATCAAAGTGAGAGAAATCTCCTAAGAAAGTGACCCTGGCCTTTGATAATTTTAACCTACAAAGGATAGAACATTGGGCATAACTAGTATCCTAAATATTTTATTATGTTAGTAAGAGAAGGACGAGAAAACGATTTTCTCAGCCTGAAGCCAAAATAGTGGAAACACTGTTGAGTTAATAACTTATGATGGCATCGTTCTAGATACTTCCATATTGTTATCTTGTTCAAATTGGTAGGAGCATCCCATTAGAGTGAAACAGCTTCAGACTGTTGAGGAGAGAGACTGGGTAGTAAAGAAGCACTCTGAGACTCAAGCAAGGGTGGTCATGATGACGACAATGGGGATGGCAACAGTAAGCTAATGTGGATGCACTAGAAATTCTCTGACACGCTTTTAAAGGGGTGCTATACATGACAGGAGTAGACGGTTGGAGACACAGGAAAAGAATATTAATCTCAAGTTTAAAATAAAGTGTGGCTTGAAAAAAATACAAAGATTTAAAATGATTTTTTTAAGATCTAGAGGAAGCAAAGAGAATAAGGGACAGTAAGAACAGGATTTAGAGCAGATGTAATAATGATAATAAAAAAGAAGAGTAGAGCTATTCATCAGCTATTTGCTTCAGATTATACCATGAAAGAGAAGTGATTTTTAAATACAGACATTATCTAGCCAAGAGAAATGGAAATTAAGACCCCAATGAAAGACCATTTTATTCCCATTTGGTTGGCAAAAATTGAGAAATCCTGTAATATCAAATACTAGAAAGATATGGATCATCAGAATGTCTCTTAAACATCGATGGTAAGAATGTAATTTCATGCAATAAACTTTGAAAAAGAGTTTGCCATTTTCTCCTTAGGTTGAACATTCTTATACCCTATACCCTACATCCCTTGTACAAGAGAAGAAATGGGGGCACCTGGGCGGCTCAGTTGGTTAAGTGTCTGACTCTTGATTTTGGCTCAGGTCAAAATCAAGCCCTCTGGGATCAAGCCCTCTGTCAGGCTCTGTGCTGACGGCAGGGAGCCTGCCTGGGATTCTCTCCCTCTCTCTCTGTTCCTCCCCCATGCTCACTCACTCTCTCAAAAATAAACAAAAATTAAAAAACATATAAATGAACAAAAAGAGGCCATTTTGAGCCCTTTTCATGTTAGCAGAAACATAGATTCAACATAAAAGGTTATCAACAGAAAAGTAAATAAATAAGCTAGGGTGTAGTTGCCCCATGGAATATAATGAAATAGTAAAATCAAATGAACTCCGGCAACACATAGAAGGGTTGATGAATCTTAGAAAACAGTATTAAGGAAAACAAGTACCAAGAAATTATATATAGCATACTGCCCTTTTAAAAGTTAAAAACAACTAAAATTAAAAACACATATAATTATATGTATAATTATAATATATACACATTTGCATATATGTGATGTGTATGTATTAACAAATAGGTATGATAAGGGAAAATGACATAAAAGGAGAGCAAGGGTACTGGAACACAAAATTCAGGATGATGGTTTCTTTGTATGTGAGAACAAGGTATGGGTTAAGGGGGAAGATCACATGACTACGTGTAAGTTAGTATGAAGGTCTTAACTTTTCTTGCATGTGGTGCATTTATGGGTATTTGCTACATTACTAGAAATGACTACGTAACTAACTTAGTAAAAGTAGGCCACTATAATGGGCCAATGGTAAGGGTCTAACATGGAATCCAGAGGTACGATTAACCCAGTTCTGTGTTCCTATGGTTAAAATATCAAAACTGAAAATAAAAACCTAACTGATATGTAAGCAGTGCCTTCAAAAGATCCTGCAATGG